AAAGATTATATTTATAATCTAACTCGTGAATGAGTCGTGAAATTTTTATAAATTTTAAATCTTAAAGTAATATTTTAACTATCATTCATCAAATATAATAATATTTGATTTCATATTTTTAAGTTTAAGTTAATTTTATGTTTAAATATGTTATAAGAGAATCTGTAATGGTTTTAAAATTCACATTTATTAAAACAAAAAACTCAATAATAATTAATTAAATATATATTTATATAATTAATTCGTTTTATTACAAAATTAGTTAAACTTAGGAAAACACAATGGTAGATTTATTTGCGATAATAACATTATTATACAATTATAAATTCAATAATTGTCTTAATGTGATTCATTTGTTTTATCTATCTCGGCATTAATGGTAAATGCAAAAGCCAGAAGCAAAAATAATATTTCTCAATATTTTTCAAATACAGCAGGGCGGATTATTCATCCGTTAAGTCCAATTCAATGATCATCGCTAAACATAAGAAACTAAAATTCAGGGAAGTTTATTTAATAGGAAAAGCCTAGACCTCGAATATCGATGATATTGAAATATGTTGCGATTGTATACATATCCTCTGATATCTTCATTCATATTCTTGAAAAAAAAAAACAAAAAAAAACAAAAAAAAAAACAAAAAAAAACAAAGAGGGTGTAAAAATTATATATTTCCATGATAATATGTTTATTCGGTATTGCTTTTAAAGTTAGAGTTTTTCATTTCATCTTACGCATTTATTTCAGTGAATTTATTATCTGGCAAATAGTAAATCACGAATCGTATGATTATCCTGTCTTTGAATGTTACCCACTTATTCACCGATTTTGGTACTTATTCATGCTTATGGGAGTACATATCGTTCAAAGCTTAATACATTGACTGGAATAAGTAGCAATAATTTATTTTATAAATTTTCTGAATAAGTAACTTCTTTTCCAATTTCATCAATATCTACTCGCCGCCCGTACAGCTTCAACATTCGTGTACGGCCAGATCTATTTTTCTCCCAGAAATTTTACTAATAATCTTCCAAAATTAAATTATCCTATGGTTTTATCATAAGCAGAATATATCGTCATACGCTTTCTTTGCATTATACGAGATTTCATTATCTTTATTATTATATCTATATCGAGAATCATTTAGGATTAATTTATGATTTTTTTGTACGAGAATTTTTTTACCTCTAATTACAATGTATTGTAATGTAATTAAAAAACTTTTTTTGTATAAAGCATATAGAGAGAAAGATAGATAAATAGAGAGAGAGAGAGAGAGAGAGAGAGAGAGAAACATTAATATTTATTTGTTTCATAATGACGTTGTTCTTACTTCAAGTTATATAAACGTTCGGTTTATCATCTTTGTGTTACCGTCAACGATAGCTACATGCTTTCATTGTTATAAGTCTGCAGTCATAAGTTTTTGTAAGTATTCGATGAATGTCAGTTGCTCATTTTTTATTGGAAATAAATTTCATAGTGCGCAAACAATTAGACACAAATTATAAATTATCATCAGCAATCACACAATTAGGCAGAGAAATAACTAAGTGAAAGATTTTGAACTACAAGTTATTAGAATAGGAATTCAAAGTAATGTATTAAACATACATCTGTATCATAATCTAAAATAATTACACACGCGCGCGCGCGCACACACACGAACACACACACACGCACACACACACACACACTTATAGTTAAATTGCATGTTTCAATACAATTATTTAATATAATACGTACGAAAGCTGAAGTTCGTTATTAAAATTCCATAGTACTGTTTTATGTAATATTCCCACATGAATTCATAACCGTAATATTTGTACAGTATTCCCTATTGTATAGAACTTCGTTAAGCATAAATATTAAATGTTCATAGAGATTAGTTATAAATATTATAATTTATAAATACTTTAGATATTATGTGTACTACCCTTTTTTTCTTATTTTTATGAATATTATAAAGGAAATTTTTTTGATCGGTATCATAATCTAGTAACAATACCCAACTGTATTTCGATGTAGTTCTTTTTCTAGGTTCTTTTTGAATATTTATGAAACACAAAAGTACATTATGCATTACGCAAGAAAACAAAAGTATTTGCTATATTACCTAGTTTGTGTCAAGTCCACGTACACTGCTACGGTTAAGAATATCTAATTAAAAATCTCTGCAATTGTTAAATGAAACGTCTTTTTCAAAGTCTTAATCATGAAAACAATAACAGAGCTCAACAATAATCTAATATTTTATTACGTTTATCTTTATATTATGTTAGTTAATTCATAAACTGATTCACTATTGAAACAAAATATACGCAAAAACGTTCAAAAATTTAATTGGTGTATTATAATAATTATAGACTCATTCGAATCATTTTATATAATATAATTTTCTGCATATTTATTTAAATTTTTTCATTGTTTTTAATTATTAATAATTTGTGTCTAAAAAAGAATTAGATGAAATCTAATTAATAAATAAACAAATGTATAATATACAATAAAATCACATTCGCTAGTGCAATATAATGGCACAAATTAAATATAATAAATCATTTATCTTCGTTGTCTTAAACATTGTTTCACATTATTTAAACTCCAAAAAACATATATATATATTACAATCTATGTATGTAGTTATCTTTATCATTGTTTGCAAAGTGCTTTATAAGCGGTTTAAAAATATTTCTTCCAGAGAAAGGTTTGGAAATTATCACTAATCATAATGTATAACTTATCTATAACTTATTAATAGTTTGTTAATAGTAGTTACTTTTTATATTAATAGTACTATCAAAAATTTGCTAGTTATTAAAATTGTGATAATTGTTTTAATTTCGATAAATATATTTTCAGAAAATGAAAATTATAGTTATTAAGATTAAATTTTTATGACTGAAATCGAGCAAACGTGTTTGAAATAATGAAATTATAAAATGCTAGAAAAACGAATAATTAATTATTCATTATAGTTATTTCGGTATTAAAGATTGTGAGGGAATATTAATAAATATTGTTAATAATTTTTCAAATTTGCATAAACCTTTTTATTTTATTTTTTTCTATTATAAATTTAATTTATAAATAATATATTTAGTTTTATAATAAATAATTTTTCTTATTTTTAATGTTTATTGTAAAATAATTTATATTGTTACTGTTACGAAATTCTATGATACAACATATTTGTAGCTACGTGAGGATGTATGTGTTATTTAATTTATATCATTGTAAATACCTTTAAAATATCTGTTTTTATCGATATAAACTTTAAACAAATAAGTCTATTTTTCGTATGTACAATTTCTTCATACACAAATATTTTTATGAGATGTCGTGTACATATTTCGTTAAGATATCTACATACTTTATGTATTGCGTTAACCTTGGTTTTGCGTTATTTTAATATTGTTTTACAAATTCTAAAAACATTATATAATGAACATACTTTTCCAACTATGTCAATGTAATATTAGACATGGAATGCGGATATTATTCATTTTGAAGTTAATAAAAATATGGGTTAATCAGGCGTCAATTTAATCTAATTTAGGTGGAATTACTAAATTACAAGTGTTACAGAATTACAATATGACTATACCACAAATTCATTGAAAAGTTTCAATTCAATTTAAAGGATTTAGTTACGGCATATTATTGACAACTTATTTATTTTATTGTAAGAACAATGTAAGAACAAGAAAAAAGTCAAACTGTTATAGCATAATGCTTTATTTGTCCCCTTCTATTAAAAAAAGAGACAGTAAATGAAAAATAGATTAAAAAATCTATAGTCCGATTAGTTTTTTTTAATAAACTATTATTAATTACTTATGTTAACTCCAAATTAATAATATAAATAAAATCGATTGAAAATTTTATATACAGACTATCGAATATAATGAATTTATAAAAAGTTTTATGAATGAACAAAATTTTGAGAAGAAAACAAAAATTTGAAGAAAGTTTTACCTGATACTATACTGAAAAAATACTACGTTCATGCCCTATGCCGAAAAAAGAATTGTAGACATTTTTAAAACTATTACCTTTCTATGCTGAAAATCATGACTTAAATCAGCTTCATAGCTATATAAATTTTAGAGGAAAACTTATCTTCTAATATTATGTGGCTAACGGTGTGTACAAAGAGATAATATTATGTCGGATAAACTAAACCAGAGTTAGTTTCATATTTTAAAATGAAAAAAAAAATTCTTTAAAGATGGAATGGAACGGATACTGGAAATAAACATGCATATTAAACAAAGTTTTAGTATTGTTTTCATTGGTATTCTTAGACACGGTTTTCTTAAACAATACATATTTACTTATGAATATTTATTCTCATTATATCGATTTTATCATTTTCAGAAATAACAAGAATATAAATAGTATGAAAAATTTTGTTACAATGTTTCATAGCTGTCCACGTTATCATTTTTATTGCTCTGATTCTCTTACGTATGTATCGAAATTAATTTAAACGTATAATCAATTAAATCTCTATTTAAAAATAGTATTTAAATATATTGGATCGAATGTTTATAATTGAACAGTCACGTTATATTTATTAGATTGCAGAAAAACTGTTTAAATAGAAAGAAAGCAATTTATTTGAAAATTAAGATAATTTACAAGTTATATTTAATTATTTTTTCGATATTATCTTGTATTTTTAAAATTTTACATCTTTTTAAGAGATATACATAAATTAGTAAACTGTTAGCTGCATTTATTAAAAAAAAATTATTTATTTTAATGTGAAAGTTGCTCATTAAATATGAGGTAAATTTACAATTTCCAAATAAAGATTTTGAATTCAACGTTATTTACCCACATCGTATAATCACTTAGTAAATTTAAACATTATTAATGTTTTGAATAATGTCTACCGATTCATCATTACACATATTTTAATACATAGCTCATGTTATCATATATAATGATAAATTTCGATCAATATAATTCATAAGCGTTTTAACACTGTTTCAGATGCGAGTAATTAGATTATATAATAAAATAACATTATGTGTACGTATCTCTCATTAAGATTTTTCGATAAAAGAAAATTTTATACACCATCATTTGAAGCGATGAAAAGTATGAGCATATTTATATTCTTATTATGTTTTATAATAAATGATATCGTTAGATCTCATGAAAATGTACGTATAATTAACAGACGCATTTTATATATTACATTTTATTAAATTTTTAATACGCAACTTTAGAGCAACGGCTTAATTAAAAAATTGAATATATTATTTGTATAAATTGCAGGCGAATGAAAATTATAGTTTCAAGGTTGATTATGAAAATGATCAATTTCTTCTCGATGGTAAACCATTTCGATATGTTTCTGGAAGTTTTCATTACTTTAGAACTCCCAAACAGTATTGGAGACCTATATTCAAAAAAATGAGAGCCGCTGGTTTAAACGCTGTTTCTACGTAAGAATAAAAAAAAAAAAATATATATATATATATATATATATATATATATATATATATATAATACAGATGGATTATATACACGCAGGAATTGATAAAAATACTTTTAGTTATGTTGAATGGAAATTACACGAACCCGAGCTTGACCAATGGAACTGGGATGGAGACGCAGATATTATCGAGTTTATAAAAACAGCTGCGGAAGAGAATTTACTCGTTCTTCTACGGCCTGGTCCATACATTTGTGCCGAGAGAGATCTTGTAAGATACTACGTAATTCTAATATATTATGTGTAATTCTCTATTATCAATTTGTCCACCCTTTATTCAGCTAATTATTTGCAATATATGTTGGAGTGCTTTTAGATTCAACATTTCACGTAAAAACTGAGTAAAATAATAGATGTCTATTAACTATTAAAATTTACTCGAATTAAAGCTATTGAATTTGTTAATTAGTAATATAATTAATATTCGTTTATAGGGAGGTTTCCCGTATTGGTTATTAAAACTCGTACCTGACATCAAATTGCGTTCTAGAGATAAACGTAGGTGAATTTTTACTTCAAGCGCGAGTACACAGACATTTAATATTATTTGGGCACGTTAGTATTCTAATATCTAATTAATATTATTTTTAGGTTATCTATTTTACGCGGAAAAATACTTGGATGAAATTTTAACGAAAATCAAACCTTATTTGAGAGGAAACGGTGGTCCGATAATAATGGTGCAAGTACGTAAAAAATGTATTTCTTTTTCCCACCTTGTAGATCTTGTGCACAAAACATTAGATAATTTTCAACAAATATTACAGATTGAAAACGAATATGGACATTTTATAACTTGCGACGATGAATATAAGTCAACTTTGTATAATATTTTTCATCGACATATTGGGGAGAATGCGCTTTTATATACAACTGATAGAGTGCATGAAAAGTCCTTGATGTGTGGATCAATTCCTGGGGTTTACACTACAGTTGATTTCGGCAGTGCCGGCAACGTGGAGGAGAATTATAAGCTTTACAGAAAATTTGTACCTAAGGTAGCATCATTCTAATTCATAAAATGAAAAACGATATAAAATATTGTAAAAATTACGTAAAAATTGAGAGAAATTTAGTATTTTGTTACTAATTAGACACTTAGTCTATTTATTTATTCATTATTCGTGAAATAAAAAATGTTTACATAGAGAGCAAATAAATAAAATAATAAAAATCACATTATAGGGTCCGCTTGTCAATTCTGAGTTTTATACTGGCACATTCAGCGCTTGGGATCGAAAGTTCAAAAGAATTAGCATTGCTCAAGTGGCAAAAACCTTTGATATTTTATTAGCAAAGAATGTTTCCGTGAATTTCTACATGTTTTTTGGAGGAACGAATTTTGGTTTCTCATCTGGTAAATATATGCTATTTTCAATATCAAATGTTATGTTATATTATCAGCAATATTATTCATTTTGTCAATATTTAACGAAGTCTCATAAATAATAATTTAATGATTCAATATTATTTACAATTCTCGTTTCGAAAAAATAATAAATTATCGATACAACCATGGAGAAACTCAACTTGACTTAGATATTGATAAATAATGAGTTTTAGAATAATGTGATGCGATAATACGAACATGCAGATTGTGTCTTTAATCCTCATAATAAATATAATGAAATTAACAATTAAACAACATTTAAAGAACTTAGTATTATATCTTAAAATATTTCAGGCGCTAATGTACGTGATGGTTATATTCCGCAATTAACTTCCTACGATTATGATGCACCTCTTAATGAAGCTGGAGACCCTACCCCAAAGTACTTCGAATTGAGAAAAATTATTTCAAAGGTGTCAGGGATATTATACTTGGCATTTAATTAAAATATTTTAACCGCAACAATTTATATAATTATACATATCTTTAGTATTATTCATTGCCAGATTTAGATGTTCCGACAACAGCTCCTAAAGGCAATTATGGCACAGTACATATGGAGTCGACGCTCAGTTTATTTTCCACCGAAGGTCGACGTAATTACGGTACATCCCAACAAGAATTTCCCGAGCCGCCGACATTTGAAGCTCTTGGCCTTCCACATTGGTTGGTTTTATATGAAACTCATTTGAGCTCCGATCAAAATTTAACAACATCTTCTTTACACGCAAAAACTAAAGATAGAGCTTTGGTATATGTCAATGATGCTCTATCTGGTACTTTGAGCAGAATAGGTGAATACAACACGATACCTCTAACCATAGAAAAAGATGCACGATTGCAGCTTCTTGTTGAAAATATGGGCCGTATAACATCTGGACATTATGACGTCGAAGACTTCAAGGTAATGTATTTTTCGATTTTTAAATTTAACTCTCATAGACTTTTAAGTATATTTACACATGCACATGCATATGCACATCTATATTTATAAACACAATGTTTATTGCATTAAGAAATGTTGTAGTAAGAATGACTATTAAGTAATTAATTAAATTGGATCGGATTGGTATTTCAAAATTAATCTTCAATTATATATATATATATATATATATATATATATATATATATATATATATATATATATTCTTTACATATAAATATTTTAAGAAGATGTAGTTGAAATATCTAGCAAGAAAAAAATTATATCATTATACTTTCGAGTGAAATGACGTTTTTCATTCAATTTTCCAGGGTATTTCAGAAGTAACGTTAAACAACGTACCCATTACAACGTGGAAAACTACTGGCTTTCGATTAGCTTCTGTCACAGCCGAATCCTTTACTACGAAAGATACAACTACCGTAACTGGAAAATTAAATAGCGGTCCTCGTTTCTTTGTTGGATCGTTTGAAATTAAAGATGAGCCATTGGATACTTTCTTAAATACCGACGGTTGGGGAAAGGGAGTTATTTATATCAATGGTCATAATCTTGGCAGATACTGGGCTTCAGTAGGCCCACAAATTACTTTATATGTTCCAGCTCCATTTCTTAATAAAGGACAGAATTCGGTTGTATTATTAGAACTTGAATACGCTAATGATAAATGTACAATTGAATTTCAAGGAGTGCCAATTTTGGATAGATTTATAAGGCATTAACCTACCAAGCGAATCGATAGTCTATCGGTGACTCGCAATATTAATAATTATAAATTGCGAAACAATCATGAATAAAATATTCTCATTATTGTAACGCGAGAGAATAGAAATTTTTTAGATAGAAATATGAAAAGTGTGAACCGACTACAGTCCTTGGACATAATTATGCCCACCTCATTCCACCACTAAATAAAGAGACTTCGTTTAACCGAAAACCTACAGACTCTCTACTCTTTTTCATCTCCAACTCTCTTTGCCGTCACATTTTTATATTCCCACACGACGCCGCCACATTATTATCTTCAATGGAAATGATACGATTACTAAGGATATTTTAGGTAAAAAAAAAAAAAAAAAAAAAAAATTTTAACTTTCATTCTTTATAAAAAAATTTCTCTAACACTTATTTTCAATTGCAATAAGCTTATAAAGGGTACTTTTTTTTTTTTTTTAATAAAATTCTTATAGATTCGTAGATTATTTAATAATGAGATTTATTATCTTCAAAGTATTTTAACAAGATTTTTATCGAGTATCTTAACTTTTTATGTCATTATTACAATCAAACTTTGTAATGTACTGTAAAATAAAATAAGTAAGTATTGTAGAATTAAACATTTCTCATGAAAATACTGGTTAATTTTAATTGTTAAATTGACTTTTATCCTTTTAAAATAAAACGTTATCACATTCGATATAAATAATTATGATAATTGTTTTGCCTTTCTTATCTAGTACTTTTATATGCATGGTTAATGTTTATAATTCAAAATCAAATTAATAATTAAGTGAAATTAAACAGAAAAAGAAAAATATTACTATTATAATGGAAAGAAATTATATTAATTACGGTTATATTATCAATAATGAAAACAAATTTGATTTGAGTGAATTATTGCGTATTAAGTAGAATCATGAAAGCACGTAAATATCATAATTTTTGCAATAAATTCGTATTCATTTCGAAAAATATGTTGAATAACATTTTTGTTATAAACGTCAGAAAACACGATACAATGAAATATAAATGAATATTTTATAAATGACTAATAATATTATTAATTTCTTTTTAAACAAAAGACATTATAACTGAGTTTTAAGGATAATAAAAACAGATAGAAATATGAGATAGAGAGAGAGAGAGAGAGAGAGAGAGAGAGAGAGAGAGTAAAGAATAAAAAGCGAGTTTTCATTAAATTTTCAACAGTATTTTCTAATACCGTTAACACGAGATGAATAAACGTTATGTAGTAGGTGACGCCAATCAGTAATAATTCGTATAATAAATCAATTTAATTGAGTCGTGGTAATAATTAATAACTAACGAAAATGTAACATAAAATGTACTTGTTAGTAATAAATGGAAGTGGTTAATGAATATCTATATTCTTGAATTTTTTTCTTCATTGACCTGTGTAATTGGAATGAATGTTAATTCTCCCGCAAGTCGCATTGTGTGATGGTTAAATGTAAAATTACACACAGGTTTCGTATTTTAATTTTTTTTTATTTTGAAGAATAGAACTTTATAGAGTGCGGATAAATAGAATTGCACTTAATTGCAGTTTTAGTGCTCATACAGACCATTTTTTTTCACGTAAATTTTTATTCATTTCGATTTCACGGCAATGGTAGATAAATATTCAGCAAAAAACATTAGTGGAATGGAAAAGAACTCTAATACTATTGTTATAAGGATTTCAATTCTATTCTATCTTTTATTAAATGAATGAAAACTCTGAGTTTATGGTATTATTTTGTAAATTTATTTTTAAATTTATAATACGATAATGCTATTGCTTGATAATACAATCCGATCGGCTAATTATAGATGTAACACATTTTTCTAAGTATAATTAACTTAGAAAGAATATTATGTCATCAATCTTTCATTTGGAACTTAATACCTTTATAAAATAGGAATTGTTTTATATCCTTTTAGAACAATAGGAGGCGCGTGTGCTATCATACCCTTAAAATATATAAAATTTGAATAAACGCTTATCTTTCAAAACATTAATTAAATTTTCATTTTCAACATTTTACTTACACCATTAGAAATATTAATCATTACATTTGAAATAAAACTTATATGATATTATTCTGTGGATATATCGATTGCTTAATCATTTAAATTGTTAATGCATTCTCTTCTTTGTTCATATGGTTAAGTATATTCTACTGTCTATAGATAAAGACACGAGTCTGTCTATATATGAATTAATTCATGTTTTTCAACATAATTCAGACTTTATTTATTAATTTAACATTTAGAAAAATTATTAGGCTAGAAAATTACATATGAATTGGGAAACTTACAAATACTCTAGATATTTCTTTTAATGATTACTAATAACGTAAATAACGTAATAGTGATATTAATTTTTAATGTGTAATTTGAAAGAAAAAACGTCTTTTAATTACTTTAATCGATTACATATTGAGTTGTGTTTTGATCAGAAAATTTACCTCTCCGCTTTTGTAATTTTTTGATGAACTAGTTAATTCAAATTGCTTCTTATAAATAATTATAAGCTTAAAATCGTTATTCTTAATTAGTCGTTATAAATATTAAAAGACACACGATTGTGCCATTGGAATTTACATTTTTAAATAATTACAATCGCCATTGTAATGAATATTGTATAGATTAGCTATACACATGCTTGTATATTCTTGTTGTCAAATTATCCATGCGTACATTAGTCTTTCCAACAAAAATAATAATTTTTTTAACTCGCAGTCTTCCCAACTCTCATAAATCTTACGAGAGTACAATTGTCTTCCTCGCAGTCTCTTTCGTCTTCTATCTCATTGTCTCCATCTGCCCAACTTTTTCTTTATCTCGTCTTTCCTTTCTCTAATTTTATATTTATTCATATATTAAACAATATATATAAATTTTAAAGGATGCTTAACGTCAAATAGTTTTTCATACAAAAAAAAAGTATTTGTATGCACGTCCGTAGGTGTGCTTACACTTCTGTGATAGAAAAAAAGTTTTTAACTGCTCTGACAATTTTATATAAAGTGCCGTATTTTCATTCATAAGTAGTTCATAAGTAGATAATAAATAAAATAAAGTCTACCTTCAAGTATAGTATATTATTTTATTGAACTGTATATTCAATTATATTATAGACTTTTACTTCTATTGTAAACTTTTAATTATATTATATGAATGTTATTCGTTAATCGGCATTACAACTTTGAATTGATTATTTACTTGAAATATTTGAAAGTTCAAGGAAGCTGAAATGTAATGCTTTATATTTTGTTTGAATTATGATCAAATAATTTTCTTTGTAATATATGAAGTCTTTTCAAATCCAAGAATCCAAGAAAAAAATTAATTTTTTAAAAAATTCCACTTAGTTGCAGTATTAATTTGCAATTTACGAATGAAAGTAATAATGAATTCATACAAAAAATTTGAAATCAACATATTTTTAATTATCATAGTGAAAGATCTAATGGTCATAATTATTTAATAAAGTATGCGCAAAGAGATATGTTTAGGGAGAAATTTGTTCCTTTCGTTGGTCGTATAATGTAATTAGTTAACTGAATGGTACAGTCGATGTAAGATTCCGTAAAGAAATAAAAGGAGAAAGTAGTCATATTAGCGGATACTATGAAAGTTCCATCCTATCTTATATGTATACATAAGAGAATAATAAACAGAACAACGAAATAATATTGACTTTAAATTCTATCCTAAATTATACTGAAATTTTCTAAGAAAATGGAAAGCTGTCCGACGACCTTATGTTACGAGAGTATTTTCTTCTGTGTTTCTCGATAATTTGATCGAGATTGGAAATCAACGAAGGATCAAAGAGCCCATTTTCCGCTTACTATTAGACAGTTTATTTGCGAATAAGTGTAGTAATATCATCCAATATCGATATTTGGAGTGTGTAAATATCAGGATTTACCGATATCCTTATAGATTATCTGTATATATGTAGTATCTTGTAAATAAACATTATTATTCATGAAATTCATCGACAATCTTAATTAAGTAAATTTCTTTTGTTGCAAAAATAGTTTCAACGGTCGAAAGTAATCATTAAAAATAAATTTACTGGTAAATAAATTTTTTATCTTCTCTCAATATATGTAACATTGTATGTAAATATAATGTAAATTATTATATTAGTTTTATATTGCACGTCACGTTACATAGAATTTGAAAATTAAATAATTGAAGATCATAGTTTTAGTTCCTTTTTTAATGCAACTAATCAATGAAATATTATAATCAGCACTACTTATTAACATTCACCGCTAGTTCGAAAAAAAAACCAGTTACAAAATATAAATTTCTAACTCTAATATGTAAAGTTCCATAAATTAATGAATTATTCGTGCAGAACACGAGTCGTTGCATTTATCAGATTTTCTCTCCAGACTCTCTGTAAGAAAACCCATCGTGGATTTACGAAATACAATGTGACCAATCAACAAGGAATGGCTATGTGCATTATACAAAATATTCATATAGACATTAAGCGATGTTCGAGTTAAAATAAAAATGAAATTTAAATAAAAACTCTCCTCATTATTAAGGCGTAAACATAAACTGCTCCCAATTACTAATCGATATTTTCAATATTTTCAATCCGGCATCTTTAATGCAATGAAAACTACGTTTTATAATGCAATGTAAAAGAAGCACAATTTCTAAAGCATAATTTACTTTTTATTTCCAAACTTTTTTCATTACTTTGCTGTGAAATGATATTTCTGTTCTGTATATCGTTTTTCTATCCTTTTATTCTCATCATTCCACCTTTATTGAACTGTCCTGGCAAAAGTTACTTAGATACGAAGCATTCAAACTCATCTTATTAAGCACACCCTTGGAGACAGCAAACAGGTGTCGGGACTACCCGCAAGAACTGATGATTGTTCCCTCTACCCGTTCCAACGATCTTCCATCAGACTGGATACCGCAATGGGAATATCATCTTGGAGGATTTCCGCATTCTCCATGAAATTCCAAGCCTGAGAGGGTAAGTTCGGATTCATTCTTCGTCTCGTCCACAGCCAATGGTAAATCAATCAAAAGAAAATTCTTTTATTCTTGGT